TAGGCTGTATGTGGGTTTAGGCGGCGACCGTCCTACAGGCTGCACTGCACTGCATCAAACTAAAGCATGACTTCAAATCCTCTCGAATGTTATGTCAAAACCACAGAGCTTGGGAAAAGTAGAAAATGCAGTTACTGCAGTAAGATAAGTGCGAGGGTTCGGATCAGAGGGCCTCCACCCAACTGTGAAAATGTCTGTCTGCCACACTCTGCGCTTGCCCGGCGAGATGGAAACAACTTCGTCCCAAACTCTCCAGACGACCCAACGGTTTGCAGCCTCTGCTTCAGATGAAATGAGACACAGCGATATGTGATCGGTGCTGTACCATCAGGAGGTAAAATGGATAAAAATCTGAAATGAATGAAATAATGACATGATATACACACGGAGGATGAGATGTGAGTAAAAACTATATCTTATCTGTGCCATCGCGCTGCGCCTCTCTGCTCCAACAAAAACAATAACCACAATTGCTGCAAAATGACTTTATGTTGGGGTCAGGGGGGGTGGGGTGATGAAAGTGGGGGGTAGAAAAACAAAATGAGAAGAGGAATGATGAAAGGTGTGAATCCAAAAGAGTGGTGATGGGGTGAAGTAGAGAGTCCTTCAAGCTAGTTGTATTCCTCTTCCCTATCTTTGTAGCTCATTCTGTGCTGTGATTCCCAGGAGCTGACTCTATTTTTTGTCAAGTTTAGTTCTGAAAAATACAGCACAGCAGTGGCAAAAACAGAAAGTCAATGAAACAGCAATGCATGTTCAGAAATAGTTATTATCATCATCATCTTGGTTATTATTCTCACGTGAGGCAGCCCATCTTGTTCCAGATGGTCCAATCATGGCTAAGCCTCCCTAAATGCGCCAGCCAATAGGGTTTTAGCGCGCTGACCGCTGTAACCTTTTTAGACTTTAAATACGGCAGAAGAACATTAACTGTTTCCCCGCGCGTCGCTGAGTCCGAGATCGGCACGAGGAGAGGCGAGTGTACGAATATGAGGAGGAGACGCGAAGGAGGCAAGAGAAAGAGTGGAGCCTCAAAGCAATTAGCTTAGCTTAGCAGAGACACTGAAAGAAGGATCAAAGAGCTAGCTTGGCTAAACAATATTGCAGTATGAAGTTTATGTTTCAAAATAAAACAGTCAAAATACTTAAATATGTAAATATTGCGTAGTGTATATCCTTTTATATATGTTGCACTACCTCTTCAGGAACATTTTCTATGACCCCTATGTCTACAATGCATTAGAAACATACTTATGAGTTACAAGCACTGTTTTCTTTAAAGAATCATAGTGTATGAAATTCAAATTGTTGCAAAACATTTCATCTTTTTTTTTATAATGCATTACAATCACTGCTGTTATGAATTTTAATGTGGTTATAAATCACTCTAAGTGGTCATTGTTTGCTTTATAGAGTGTCATCACAATGTGAGGATACCTTATGTAACAGTGCTCTGCAAAAATGGTTGTGTTGTCAGCGAGATTTACATTCCAATACGTCTTTCTCCACACCTCAATGTGACAGAAATGAATGTCTCGCCAACGTTCGCCATTTCTATTGAGAAATTCCACTTTAAAGTTGGAAACGCAGCTGCTGACAGAGACGGATAAACAGAGCAAAATGCATTTATATTCCTCAGCTAGCTGTGAAATATTCCTCAGCCAAAGTTGAATCAGTCTGGGTAAAGATAGTGAACCCTCCACAGGGACCGAGGGGCGATTTAAAGACATGGCGAGAGTGTCAGCCAGTGAGCGTGTTCAGACGGTTCTTTTTCTGTTGGTGGGAGAGTAGTTCTATGCATCAGGCCGTGGTGGGTGAAAGAAAGAAATGGGAAAAGAAAGGCTTGATGAACAACACCCAGAGTTCTCCGACTTGCCGGGGAGCGAGATTCCCTGAAGGGTTCAAGGAGAGGTGATTTATGGTCTCTATCTAAACGAACGCAGTGCTTGTTTTATCCACTCCTCGCTGTCCTGCCACTGGGAATCAAACTCCCATTACAGAAGCACTGGTGATTAAAACCAGATGAAACAGATAATCATCGCCACTGTGGGCTGAAAGCTAAGTCTCAGTGAGAGCGCGAGCGTTCACGTACAATTGGAAGAGATCTTTAATCCCCTTCTCTTCCGTCATTTCTAGAGAGGTTACTGTTATTTTTCTTGCTGCTAAATTCTCAACCAGATTGGGGAAGAGCAAAACACGCCTTCCCCGAACCAAACGTCCCTCTTTTTAATGACTCGGGGGATCAGTTGCCAGCTCAAAAAGTATGCAGAACTGCATCTCAATATTGGGGGGGGTTTAATGAAAACATATCGATCACTCCTCGTGTTTGAATCAAGGGACTCATTACATGACTTTGTAGTCTACAGCTGTAATACATGACGCAGAGGTGACATTTAAGAGCAGTCAATCCAATGAAAAGACTAAAATGCAGTTTGAATGGAATGCATGCATTTTACCACCGGAGTCACATGACAGTGACAGGAATAAAGTGTCTTGTTTACAAGGACACTCTTGACATGCAGCCATCTGTCTGTAACCCAACATGTAGATACAATGAGTGTTTTCACCTCGTCCCTGATGAATGCTCTAGTTATTACAATAATGGGCTTACTCTTCGCTTCCGAGAAAAGACGTCTCCCTCCATGCAACCTGCCTGTTTCGCGCCTCGGAAGAGAAGTTGACCAAACAGGGCTTCTTTGGGTGCCGGTCCTCGCCGGGAGCTGTCGGGGAGGTCGAGACTTGGTCGGAGCTGACTGACGTGAGGTCAGTGCTCAGGTCAAATGATGTCCAAGAAGAGTCAGAGGAGGCAAAGGAGCTGGTGTCCACCTTCTCCTCGTGCAATCCATCTCCTAGGTCCATGGCGCAGGAATGAAAACGGAGGGGGCAAAAAGCTGGAGAAGGAAGATGAATGACAAGAGGAAAACTGACGGAGGACTTGGATGAGGACGGGTAAGGAGATCAATGCGTCAAACGATGTCTGGATTAAGCAAAAGCTCTGAATGGGAAGCAGAAAACACTTCAAAATGAGATAATGGAAGGAGATATGTCTGGCTTTTCACTCTCTTCTCTTCTGCCTCAAAAGGAGTTCTGAAGAGAGTGACGAGAGGAACGGAGAGACAAAAAGACCAATCAGGGGGGAAACACTAGACAAAAGAGACGGCGATATGGATGTGAGGGCAGGACAAGAAAACCACTCAGGGACTGAAGAAGAAGCCAGACACTAAACCATAGAGTGCGATGAGAAGATAGGACCCACCGGCTGCAGATGGAAGGGGAGGTGAGCACAGACAAGAGAAGAGGAATCAGGTGAAAGGTGCGGGCAGCAGCACTTACAAGGTGATGGCTCGCATCTCATTACACCCCCCCCCCCACAACAATTGAATCATGTGGTAAGCGGATCGCGGCGGGAAATCGATTGGAGATGCATGGGGCGGATTGTACTGGTGGCTTCTGTGGCTACATGATAGCAGCAGGAAGGAGAGTGCCGTCTCAGGTTGCAGTGATGAGCAGTTCATTACCAGAAGTCTGACCCAGTCCAAATACAATTATGGCTCACCACTCAAGCCTATTAGGACCCTGAAATGGGGAAGCCAGGTTAGCCGGCCTCCCGAAGGTACACTGGGAATAGATTAAGAGCATTGTTCTTCAGACTGTAAAGATACAGTATACAGGTAACACCTTATTTAGGGTATCCAAGTGTGCACCTATACGTCAACTGCACCAGAAGCGAGGCCAGCAAATCTGACTTTTTTTAACGCCATTTTTAAAAGTCTGGCCTGCCGTCAATATGGTTCAGGAAACAAAACTACTGAGGTTAGGTTTTGGAAAAGACTGTCATTTCTTAGGAAGTGACTTCTTCAATGTTTTTGATTTAGAGATTTTAGAGTTAGACGAGAAGTTTGAGGGCACACCCACGTTTGTACATTACCTATGAAGCTCGAGCCAGGAGATGATTAGCTTAGCTTAGCATAAAGACTGTTAGCGGGGTGACACGGCTCCCGTGGTGCACTTGAAACGCTCAGAAACCTGCCTGGCAGCACCACTAACGCTAATTAATTAACAAGCTAGATCCCATTTGTTTAATGTGTACACAAACAGAAATGTAAAAACTGTTTTACAGAGAGTCATGTGCTGGAACGAATGAATTAACACTTAGGTATTTATAGTGAGCCATAAAAGGTGCTGCTAGGTTGATTTTTGAGCTTCAGGACAGAGCCAGGCTCGCTGTTTCCCCCGTATGTCCAGCCTTCATGCCAAGTTAAACTAATTCACTCCAAAGAGTTTTATGATGAATGTCAATGAAATTATCCAAGTGGCAGAGCTACAACAGTTACACTGGTAGACATAAAACCAGGAGATACATTATTGATCTCACAGCATGCCTCCCAAAGCTCACTCTTACACTCAGTAGCTTTATAGTTTGTCAATTTGTCTTCAGGGAGCACACAAAGACAACCAGTTACAATAGTGCCCCATTTCTCTGCCAAAGACTTGTCCACCTCTTCTTAGAACAAACACTAGAAGACTCCCATCCATCTTCAGCAGACAAGGGTACATTGATTAGGTCAAAAATCCAACTTCATCACTAACGCTCAGCAGGGGAACCATAGCCGCATCGCACCACAACAGATCTGTCCTGCCACGTCGCCTCTTTCTTTCTTTTTGGAATCAGATTTCATTAGTGTGCAGAGTTCGTTTCAAAGGGAACCACCACAAAACATTTCCAGGGTGTAAGTTTTAAATCAGCTACAGTGCGAGGACATGGAAGGTCAAGGTAGCTGATAAACTCTGTCTACATGGAACTTTTAATGAAGGAGCGCTTTGTGAGGGTTTTTTCGATGATTCGAATGAACGTGCGGCCGATTCATCTCACAGGGAAAAGTACAAAAGGAGGATAAGACGCAGAAATGAGCACACATCAATCAAGATAGTACAAGTGACATCCCTGAAATCAGCTGCGGTGGTACAGACATACACAATCAATCATGGTGCTTCATGTATATGTGAAGAGGATGAGGTCTTTATTTAAACTGAAGAAAACAGAGTTTAAAAGAAACAGACGTCACAGTAAAGAAACACAATACGGGAAACATAGAACCATTGTATTACACATAGTAATGTGTTACGTCACATATTGTAAAACCAATTCAACGGACAGGAACAGGGTGATCCAGTGGTGTGCAAAGAGAAATAAATAACATACTGATTTAGACATTTATCAGGCATGCACAGGACAAACCAAGAACTAAGACAATCTCTCAGGGACAGTGGAAGGTGTAATACTACAGAGTGAAGTCCACAGGAAGAACAACATTCCTGATTCAAAGTATTTTAAGAGTCAATACTTTAGAATTGTGCAGCGAAAGCAGCAAAGCGCCTCTGGGACGGGAGGACCAAGTCCAGATGAGGATCACTGGCGGAGCTGCATGGGGAGCGCTGACAGAAAGTCAGCACTAAAGAGGAGCCAAGCTACCAAACAGGCAAACCAGCGGTGCCCTAAAGACTATCCAAACTTAGAACAGGAAGATTATCAACCCGTGTCCCTTCTATGAACAGGCCTCAACACTGAGGGTATGAAGAGCGGTAAAGTCTGAGCAGGTGACAAAGGAGGCTTATTGCCAAGCAATGCTGTGCGTGTGTCTGCTTCCACAGCTGAGTGATTCAAAGCTGTTTGTATTTGGTTGGACTCTAAAAGCTGAGAGGCTAGAGAACTTCCTAACCTTAGCCTGCTCCTAAAACGTGTAGGCCAGCTAAGAAATAAGCAGATGACAATGAGGAAAGCAGCGCAGGGTGCCTTTACATGCAGGACGGTCCCACAGACAAAGCATGGGCTAGTGGCATGGCAGAAGCAACTAGTGCCACAAGCCAGCGGCAGGAAAAACTAATGTTAGGCCAGAGGAGAAGGAAGGTTGGTCCAGGAAAACAACACGGGTGATCTCTGGAGACAGCTGCTATTTATTCCTCTGCACACGAGCCCAGACAGGTCGGTCTAGACGAGCTGTAGGGAAGGTCAGCGGAGAGACAAGCATGGGAGAGAAAGCACAATGGCCGACATCTCCTTCAAAAAATCGGCCTCGGTTGTTTCATGCTGTAGTGGGCCTCGGATGCCGACACATATGCGGACTCGGGAAAGAAATCCTCATGGAACTCTGCCAGAAACCTAAGAGAGAGGACGGGAAGAGGAAGTACAAGAGAGGGAAATCGGGTGAGATGGTTTTGACTCAGACAACGTTCGGGAGCCCTCGGTGTTCACATCGTGTCATCTGACACGATGTGAACACGAAGCAAAAACCGCTATAAGAAGGAAAGCATCTCAAATGTCACGTCCCAGTGTATACGCTTGGACTTCTGGTTTTCCTAGATATCCCTGGCTCATTCCACATAAACCCTAGACCCCTTGCCCTCTGCCTGGGGGGGTATATATGTCACACACAAAGCCCCCTCATCCATCCTATACCATCGCCACCAGAGAACCAATCGCTCTGACGGACAGACAGAGAACATGAGAATGACCGACCAGCAGTCAGAGAGGGAAGAGAGGGAAGAGTGAAAGACCCCCCCCCCCCCTCTCATCTAATCAGTAGCGGGGAAAACTAATCCGGAATCTTCTTAGTATCCGCTACTCGGCCAAATCCTCTAAATCTTGCCATCTCATCTTAGCTCCACCGGCCTTCCTAATCTCAATGCAAACAAATTATCCTCATCAGAGGAGAACTTAAGAACGCTTTGACAACGAATAACAAACAAGACAATGGGACAATATAGGGGGCATGCCAGCACCACACGGTGAGTGAATCAAAGGTGAGCATGGAAATGAAGTTTATTTAAGCCCAATTCTTCAAATAAAAAAAAGTCGATTCAATGACATTCATTGAGAAGCAACGAACGGGTTTCAATGTATATTTATTGATCCGATTTTATTTTTTGGGGTTCTTTGGTGCCAGAAATCCAGGCCTGTGCTAATCTTTATTGCTGTTGGATCAGTAACAACACAAGGCAAGCAGCTTTCGGCACACACATTGTAAATCAGCATAATGTGTGCGTACACATGTACACACACACACACACACACACACACTTAATCATAATCATTCTTGCGGAGAAAGGGGAGAGTGAGAGATCAACTGTGGCCAAAGCCCAGAATGCACTGCACTTCAGTCTCTGCGACATCAATCAGTTTTTCGCCCGCTCTGCACAATCTGCCACGGGGCTGATTTCAGAGTAAAAGGCATCAAGGTTTTTCCCAAAAGACATCGGTGTTTTAGTTTGTGTCCAGTGTCCTGCAGAGTCTCCAACACGGCGAAAATATGAAGTAGTTACTGAGAGGAACTGTGTTTTCTGTATTGAACACCATCGATGCACCAGTGATTTGCAGTCCAGTGCCACTGGAGTGCATTAAAAGACTTTCTAATCCAACTCCTGATGACACTGCAATATGTGCTTTGCCAAGAGAAACTGCTCATACTGCTGAAAAGTATGAGGTATTGGTATTCTATTTAGTGTGGAGTGTTACAGTCCTATGTTGACAATGCCGCTTTACAGCCCTTCTGTCCCGCCGCGGGAGAAAACTAAAAACCAGTGCATCACATATGTAGTTGAATGCTGTAATCACACTGCACACCACTCTCTTCCCACAAACCGACATGAACGCCAGCCGTGGCTATTTTCAGAGGACCGCCTCGTGATTTTTATGGCACCAGTTTATTTATTTATATACATTTTTGGGGTTGAGTAGTGGAACAGAGGTAATTTTGGCTCTCAGGCTCGGGTCTGTCCCCGTTCCCACTCGTGGTGAGTTCAGGTGTTGCTCCACAGCACTGCTCGGTGGCAGGAAGCCGGTACTGCGTGTGTTTGATTAGAGAACGAGAGGACCGAAATCCCCCAGGTTTGGGACCGGCTGAACTGAAGATCGCTGGGGAGGATTTAAAGATTAGACTCCCGCGCTTGTGTAATGCCCACTCATCTCCCTCCCTCTAACACATGCTCTTTCTCACTCCATCTCTCCCTCCCCTCCGTCCCATCATGTTCTCCTTTACTTACTCTTTCTTGCTTTCTTTTTTTTAGCAGGCTACCAAATACATTAGGTATTGTGAGTGAGGAGTAAACTATTTGTCAAGGGTGTTCTAGAGATTGATAGCTTCCAGGTTCTTTGTGAAATGAGAACTTCTTGCAGCTCAACACTGGCAGTAACTATTGAGCTTAAATGCTCAGCGAGGTCAAACCTTAGTTAATGGACCGTGCAGGTTATTACCAAGAAGCATTTTAAGTCAAAGTGCTTCCTATTTTATGGCCCGTTAATTGAATGCAGCCCCTCGTCTTTCTAATGATTCATCCTCCATGGAAATTATACATGATTCTTTCCACCTGACGGCACAATCCACTTTTCGAGAAGGGGGTGAGATATCAACATTATGCCTGAATGTTTCAGTGAGTGACCCAACGATTGGTACTCTCCCATCTGCACAGCGCAAAGGAACTTGAAACCTCTTTAACCCATTTTGATGAAATCGTTGCTGTCCCTCTCTTGCTTACTGAAGCACTTACATCTGAGACTTCTTACACGTAAAGCTGAAAAAACGGATACACTTGATTTGAACATAATAATCACATACCTGAGAAAGAGATCCAAATGCTTGACAAGGGCTCGGAGGTTCCTCTCTGGGATCTGCATTTTTCCCAGGATCTCAGGAAGCTTCACTGGAAAAAAAAAAGCACGACAGCAACCACGGGAATATGAAGAAGTTGCACAAAAGGGACAACAATGCTTCACCACAATCAAACCACTGACATCACCAAAGACAAGTGAACCAGTGTGAGCAAAAGGATAAGAGACACCAACCAAAAAGCCGCAGGAGGTGCTGTGATCCGTACAGGTAGGAGGGTGGAGGAGGCTGGTCATGCAGAGGGTAGTTATCAGGAGTCAGCTTCCAACTTAGGACCTGGTTGACGGAGTAAAAGGAAAAAGCGTTGAACAGACACTTTGAGGTTTTCACATATTTGACAATACCACGTGAGCTGACTCCTGATAACTAATGAAGAAAGGATCAAACAGTTGCTTCAATGAAGGAGGCCATTTATGTAACTAGCCTTAGTGCCCTTGAGCATGAAATTGTTTCCTATCCAGATAATAGTACACACACAATTTCATCACCTCATTAAGCTCATTGTTTCTCCGGCTCTCATGGCTATAGAAAGGCCCACTTCGCTCTTTGCTTGGCGTCAAGGGCAACGGGGAAGATGAGCCGCTGTGCACTGGGGTTTCTGGTTAACAGGAAACAACGACATGTTTACAGATACATTTCGAGCTGTGTCGCTTATCGCTGCTGAAATATCGCTAACAAAATATACCAACGACAGCAAAAATGAGTCTTGAGGGCACAAACTTCTTCTGAGGAAAGTCTAGTTCTTAGGTACTTGAAAGGGGATACATGTGAGAGGAAAGAAGTAGGACAACACCATCTACTGGGCAAAACGTGTTACTACAAATACAAGAAGGTTGCCACTACAAGTTAAGAATAAGGTTTACCATTTTCAGTAAAGGTCAAAAAAGTGAAACTCGTGGTTAAAAAGTAAGATCACAAAAAGCTTATATTTGAAGTCATATTTCTTCAACAGACTGTCATCTTACTTCTCTCGAGGTTGAGGAAGAACTTGGGCTGGGATGAGGTGTCGACCAAACGGCGTTTGAGCTGCGGGGATGCTGTAGCACTGCCTCCACCTGAATCATTACATACATTCTATCAATACATGCCTAAATAGCTCACACGTGAAATTATTATTACAACATGCTTTACAAAACATAAAAAACACATATTACTACTGAAGCACACAAGAATAGATGTAGTTTCTTTATATGAAAGACCCTGTTGGATCATTTTCCAAACGGCACCAAATCCAGTAAAAAGTGATTACCTCCACTGCTTCCTTCAGCTGGCCGGTCGCCTCCAGATGTGTTCCTGGTGGAGCGTCTGAGTGACTGGGACTGGAATGAGATACAGTCCATGTCAGGGTGACGCCGGCGCTTCGGGGTGGGGGCTGTGGCGGTGGGCGTGGTGGCAGAGATGTCGCTCAGTGCTGGTTGGCTGTCTGTGGACTGGGGGGTGGGCGGGTTGTGGCTCAACGGGCTCGGGCTGCGCTCTCGTTGGGCGCTTCACACACAACGGGAGAGAAAAAGGCGTACAGCTTGCTCAACAGTCAAACGCAGTCTATCACAGCCAAGCAGTGGCTTCTGAAACAACAGAGACTTGATTCATCATAGCACACTTACTTGCTGGAGCAGGGGGAGCTTTCGTTGGCGGCCAGGAAAAGCCTGGAGGAGCTGACCTTTTTGAACTGGGCTTGTTCACAGGGGTAGAGGAGGATCATGGGTAAGGTGAAGTCAAACGTGATCCGCAGGCCGTCGACCATCTCCTTACACAACTCCTCACTTCACACAAAGGAAATGTAAGGATTAGTTAATGTCCATAATCATGTATGCCGTCTCAGCTGGGCCAGACCTAGAAATGAATCCTACAATTAAAAAGAAAACAACGTTTTGGTGGACATTTGACTGGGAACCATAATTTATGAATATGGGGAGAAACGATGACAAAACTTGTTGCCTTAAGAGATGGTCTACGCTGGACAAAGCACATCAGTTTCCATCGCACTCTGTTCAAAGCGTGCGCAGACTCACCTCTTCTCCGGAGGGACCGGCTGCGGGCTGCTGCTCTGTGTGGTGTTCTGCTGACGCCGGTACCGCTCATTGGCCATGAACGCTTTGTTGATGGCAAAGTGCTTGACGTAGGACTCGAGGATGTGCACGACATTCGTCTGACAGGGAACCATGACCAGCTGGGGAGAGAAAAACATGGATAAGACTCGAGTCAGTTCAATATCTTCCCATGCCTACCAGAAGTACCAGTACCGGTATCTTAACAAAATGTGTAACACTGCTTAGCATCTGCTGCATGTACCTTCTTCCTCTTGTTGATGTAAAAGCAGTCATCCTCCAGTTTCTTCTTCAGGACATCGGGGATGTTGAGGTCGACATGGACGATCTTCTCCTCACATTCCCTTTTAACATTAATGTCGGGCTCAACCCTCTGAAACACACAAGATACGAACCTTCAGGTCAACGGTATATAGAAACTAAGAAGATGTGCTTTGCTACAGACAGAAGTCATGGTCTTAAAAGTTATGTTTGGATTATCAAGTGTTGGATAAATCAATAAGTTTTCCGGTGGCACTCACTGCATTGCAAGTTGTTCTAGATAACAGCATCAGCTAAAGGCCTAAAATGTAAACGTTGGTCTAAATATGCTATTGTCTTAGATGGAAACTGAGCTGATCCACTTCACCATTTTGTTGATGTCCTCAGAGAAGGTGCTTTCCCCGCTATTTGAGGATTCAGGGTCAGAGTCGTCCCCGTCACTGCTCCCTGAAGACGAAATCAAACCTAGACAGAAAAATTTGGAGGGATTAATTTGATTGCTGTGGGAGACTGGGAGCAAAATAACAAAAGGCAGAGGAGGATTTCTCACATGCGTCATCACTGTCGTCCTCCTTAGGGAGAGTCTTCAGTGAAGATTTAGTACCGGACTGACGTCCCCGCCTCTTGGCCCATCCCTTTCTCTTCCTACCGCCAGGAAAGAAAAGAAAACACACACACCATCTGTATCAGTCTCGTCTAAAGATAGACCTAACTAACAGAAAGGTCGAATCCAAAGCATGTGGACACAGCACAGACATTGACATGCACTGGACTTGTGGTTTGAGTTACAGGTGTCATGTACAGTATGTTCACGGACAGTGCTGCGCATGTCGGAAATCAACAGTAAAACTTTTCAAGCCCATTCTATGACGCTACTCTCTCTACTTAGAGAGACCCACGTGATACACATGCAAGAAAATATTCTCAATGGTTAAACACTTTGATGGCATTTACCTGCATGGCTGAATGAATGAACATAATATGAACTTACATGCGACCTAGAGCTTTGCGTGCCAGTTTATGTTGCAAATTACGGTTTTCCTCAGAGTCCCTTAGGACATGATCCTCTGCAGCCCAACGATCCCAGCTACCCAAACACACACATTTAGAAAATAAAAAACATCACACAGAGCTGCATGGGTTGAAGGCAGTGTTTCATATCGATTTCATTACACAAGTTGATGAACATGACATTTTGCAATGATAAACACTACAATGAGTATGATATATGCAAGTAGGGAGGTGACAGGGACTCATCTTACCTTCTGTTCCAACCGTTGAAGTGAATCAGGTACTTTGGGACTCTTCTTCCATGCTCATCTTTACCAATCAAGACATCAAGGACCTGTGACGGGAACAGAAAACAATGAGAAGAGTCTTGCTTGCTCAAGGCTCCTGTGGTTTGAAGGACAGTGCCTTTACTCAAAACTCAGGTAGGTTCAATTCAAGTCAGCAGAGGCATTTACTCACTACTTTTCTTTAGCATGCTCTTTGAGTAGTTCCATGCTTTGAGACTTATACTTTCAGTTCCTTATAGTCTATAGGAATATGATCGTTTTTCTTGCAAATTATAGATTTATATATTATAGGTTTTTCTTGCACATTAATACACTCAGATGTATTGTTCAAATCACGATTTTACATAATGAATCAGTTTCCAAATGATATGCTGAGTGGAAAAAAGGTCTATTCTGTCATTATCATAACCTATAACCTCATGAACTATGATGTGATTATTCAGCATTTTACATTGTAACGGTAGTATTGCTAAAGTTACTTAAATGAAACATGTTAAGCTTCTTACACCAATGCAACTCAGTTAATGCTAACTGTTAGCTTGCCTCGATTAGCAATAGCCAGGCTAGAATGCGTTGACATAAACAAACCCTCTATTAGCGTTAGCTTGCTAACTAGCAGGCTACTAAAAACGACATTGCGCACATAACGTTAACGAAGATTAAACTCGAATTAGGCTGCAACACTATTGCCTGCATTAAACACGTTTACAATGTTTTTGTTGCTACCATGGAATGTAATGAAAACAGCGAGACAGTAAATGCTACAGTTACGGTCAGTGTTGGTGCGTTTGTTTATTAGGTGTTTCCGTTAAACTACTTTGAATGATAGCCAGCCAGCTATAACTACTTTACTATTAATGCATAAAAACGTCTCCAGCGTTAATTCAAATAGCGTTATTGCATGCCTTGGTGATCGTTTTGGCTGCAACGCTTTATCACGCAACAAAATATCACAGTTGTCTCTACAACTAAGATCATAATCTTGTGCTTCAAGGAGAAACATGTGTAATCTAACGTACCCGGAAATCATGGAGAAACGGTTAACGTTATCACAGCACATTGTGCATTAACAGCTAACGTTGTTTATCTTAGGCCTACGTGGTCGATTCATATAGCCCACACTTTACACAAACTGCCCTGATTCTCCAATATAAAGTATTCGTTTGGCAAAAGTCGAAATACCGAATAGCTAAATTACGCATACGAGATATTACCTTAGCGTCGTACAACACTTTAGCCTTGGTGGGGTCGGGTTCAAAGCACAGGACTCTTTCTCCTTTGCGAAATGAGTACTTAATGCCCCGCGAATTCATTTGTTCATGGCGACGTGTGGGAAAGGGGGCATCAATCTGGACCCTATAAACTCCTTAACCCTTTCCTCTCCAAATTTTCTGCGAGGGGTCTCTCACAGAAACGCACTTTGGAGAGGTGGCGCTATTGCGGGAGAAATGCAACATCTACTTGTTGCCTTCACTGGCTCCTCGTAATTTCCCCGATCGAGCCTTGTGGGAACAGCACTGGGTCGTTGAATATGGTTGCGATTGGCTTGATAGAATAGATTTGCAATACAAATTCACTAAAAAAAACCAAGCTTGAATCTGAACATCACGAATGTAATTTTTTGTATGTGAATTATCACAATGTCAACACTTTTAATATTCATTTCAAACCAACACGATTTTAAGAATTCCTCATATTATGACATTTATGAGTGAGTGCATTAGGCTACATTTAGCCAAAGAAATACATAAATGCATTCTATCTTCATCCACTGTGTAGCATTGTGTTGCTTTGTTTGATAATGTATTTATGCAAAACACCTATCCGCGACATTTCACAGCGCTGAAGGCAGCATGGAAAACGCAATTCAATAAGTTGAAATGGTCTCTCACGTATGCCGTACTAGTAGTGTACTTTCAGAAACTGGTCAGCAGATGTCAGTATACATTAAACTAATTTGCCTTCATTGTGAAGTTACCACCAAACTGCTTTTGTTCCATTTGGTAAATTAGATTTAATACATATATGTAGTACTTTCTAGCATGCATAACATTTCCACAATAAAGCAACACATGCCTTGACTAGAGGAAGCCTTAGTCTGTGTGGACCATGTGTATGATTTACATCAAGAATATAGGTTTATAAACTAATACTCAAAGACCCCAGTCCTTTACAGGTCTCCATGTATTGCCTAACACACATGTGAAACAGATTTTTACTGTAATTCACCAGTGTTTATTCCAATTCTAATAACCCCTTTTCTCCACTTTCATATGAAAAAGTAGGTCCTACAAGGGTCAAGCCATCTGTGTGCGTTTAGGGGTCCATGACATGAAAATTATTGAGAACCTGCGGGTAATTTATTGGACGATTGCAAATTACCTCAATTACAACTCTGCAGATACTCAGATTAAATATCTGTATTAAACCACCCTATACAAATTAAGCACACCCGGGTATCATACACATGTTTTGGTATTCAGTTAACACAGTTTAGGGAAGGAGCCTTTTCCTTGAGGCACAATACAGTAAAAGAAAATCAAGCATGTCTCAATAATCTAATCTTCCTCTATCGGAACAATATGGTGGCTCTATAATACACAGAGGTGTTTAGATGTGCAGCCAGGAACACGTGAAAGCTTTGGTTGGATACATTGCTCTAGGGTACAAGCCCTCTCTTTCTGTGTTTGTCTTTAATTTGATATCATCCTACTAGTTTGCAAACAGATTCAATTACTTCTCTAATCACAGAGTTTAATCACTTTAAGAAATCTGATTTTCTTTTGTAGTAGTAAAATATGGAATAATGCTGAAGTTAATTGTCTTTAACAGATCAAAATAGAACTTGCATCACTGATTTATTGTTTCATATTTCATATCTCTATAAGTAATTTGATTTCCTTTGATTGCTGACCTTGTGACCTTCTCATTCACAGTGAAATGTGCACTGATCCCCGGCACAGGAAACCATGTCTCTACAGCTGTAGCTGAATCGAGGCTCATTTTAGCTTAAAGTGGTTTCAGGCAGTGCTGCTTCACTATTGTACACCAAATATGGACAACGTTAACACTGAACGTGACTAGCTGAAGTGCAGCCCTGCTGATGTATTGTCCTTCCTTTTAACCCCGACTGATATATTTTGACAGACTTGTCAAATGATCACTGTTTCACATTAAATCTTTTCCATGGTTACGCTGCGTATACAGTCTCCTGCAATGCCCAGCTTGTCTTTGAAGAAGAGCTTGAATACATGCTTTCTAAATCTGTGGAACATCATCTTCTCAATGAAGCACTATTGTTCCATATGACTGTTGTTCTTGGCTTTCCCCCCAAATGGAGGAGTTGTACGGGCATAGTTCAGGGCAATACTGCCTCCCTCGGGTCCTGGCTTCTATCCATGAACTGTCCCAATGCGAAACACCATGTTTTCTTTCTATAATACCTCGCTTCTGTGTTTTCACTCAGCCTGTCTCTCCCCCCCCCCCCTGCAGACTGTTTTTAGAAGGGTCAAATCTATCTCAGCTGTTATCGGTGTCATGTCACGCTGTGTTGTGTGTATGTGTGTGTGTGGGCGCATCATGCGGAGCAGCTTCATAAGCTCCTTTATCAGCCGTGCGGCACCCTCCTCTCAGGGCTCCTGCTGTCCCTTTTCATTTTTCCCATACTTTCACACACTGGGCCACACATGATCCGTCTCTCTCTGACAGAGTCTCTCTTTCTCGAGAGACAGCGAGATCCTTCTTGTGGCACTGGCACCTCTGTGGCACTCTCTGTGGCACTCAGCGGCAGTCTGTGGCACTTCAGCGGCAAGCGTCAGCTGTGGCAGGCGAGCGGTACTAGTTCGGCACCCGTCAAGAAGCGGCGGAGCTGAGGGGGCGGAGCCACATTTCCTGAGACATTTCCTGAGAACACACATTGTTGTTACAGCAGGTCAGCTTCCGTAAATCAGTTTTATGATTTTAGTTGAGTCACCGGAGCCACCCGTTCTCTGTATGCATCCTTAGAGTAATTACGTTGTACTTTTTTGTTTCTCATTCATTTTAAAAATTATGATTTTGCTGGTTTTGCAACAAAAGAGAACATAATACACTCTTTCCAAATTATTACTTTTACAGTCATTTACAACAATCGGCTAAAATAATGAAAATAAATCATCCGTTTTATTATCATTTAAAAGTATATATATAAAAAATTAAAACCCATAAAATGTCCAATCCAAAAATATATGTCTGAAAATATCTTCACTCTTCCTCTGCTTATATGTATATGTATGTCAGTAAGTGCCACAAGCTGCCAGAGGGTGCCAGAGGGTGTGCCAGAGAGTGCCGCAAGGTGCCAGAGAGTGCCGCAGGGTGCCAGAGAGTGCCAGAGAGTGCCGCAGGGTGCCAGAGAGTGCCAGAGGGTGCCCCCCTGGTCCGTGTATGTTTTGATAGTCTGTTTTATGGTTTATTTGTTTTTTCTTTTGAAGAGCAACGCAAAGTAAAACAGGTAGTCCGGAAGTAAGAATATGTCAAAATAAAAGTGAAGGTAATACAATGACTGTATGCAAGAAAATGGTAACCAGGGTAACACTAGAAGAAAAATAAATAAATATGAATAAATAAATGTGGGCTGATGGGAGTATGTTAACAATAGTTGACTACATGCGATTTAATATTAATTTATCCATGTACACAGCAAGAATCAAGTTTTTGATTAATCTGTGGATTGTTTGATGCAATAGTTTGTAATATAGTTTAATCAAAGTCATTTGTGTGTGCAGAGTTGTTGCTATTTATTCTTCCACCGTATTGTGCTGCTGCTTGAGTGAACGCAGAGCATAGCCTGCAAAAGGAGACGCAGATTAAGAGTGTTTACCATTTATACCACTAGATGGCAGTATACGTGTATTTAAACCATAGATTTGTTGTATTTACCTGTGTCTTTGTTAATTGTGTTATTGATACAGATGTATTTAATGCAGGTTATTTCATCTGATATTTGATGTTGATGGTTAATTTGCAACCTAGTTGTATACATCATGTATTTACTTGTTATTTTTATATAATAGAAAAGTGAGCATGTGTAGTTCATGAAGCAATAAATAATAACAATTGAAAAATAAAGAGACGTTTGGTTCATTCTTTTCAAACATTAAGCCGAATTTACCTACTTCATTGATTTAATTGTCACACTTAAATCCTGAATTGACTGGTGAAACAGAAGAAGTTAAAAGGCCAAGATGAGAAGATATAATGTTGGTCAAATACTGTGGTCCAAATAAAATTACTTCAGTTTTATTGCCATTGAGATATAGAAAGTTTGACTCTAGACTATTCAAAAAATTCCTAATCCCTCTGACTGCTGGCGGCACCCTGTGGCACCCTCTGGCACCCTGCAGCACTCTCTGGCACCCCGCGGCACCCTCTGGCAGCTTGTGGCACTTACTGACATACATATACATATAAGCAGAGGAAGAATGAAGATATTTTCAGACATGTATTTTTGGATTGGACATTTTATGGGTATTCATTTTAAATTTTTTTATATATATACTTTTAAATGATAATAAAACGGATGATTTATTTTCATTATTTTAGCCGATTGTTGTAAATGACTATAAAAGTAATAATTTGGAAAGAGTGTATTATGTTCCCTTTTGTTGCAAAACCAGCAAAATCATAATTTTTAAAATGAATGAGAAACAAAAAAGTACAACGTAATTACTCTAAGGATGCATACAGAGAACGGGTGGCTCCGGTGACTCAACTAAAATCATAAAACTGATTTACGAAGCTGACCTGCTGTTACAACAATGTGTGTTCTCAGGAAATGTGGCTCCGCCCCCTCAGCTCCGCCGCTTCTTGACGGGTGCCGAACTAGTACCGCTCGCCTGCCACAGCTGACGCTTGCTGCTGAAGTGCCACAGACTGCCGCTGAGTGCCACAGAGAGTGCCGCAGAGGTGCCACAAGAAGGATCTCGGCCCTGCACTGTTTCTCTCGCCAGAGTCTCTCTTCCTCTCGCACAAACGCACTCACTCAGCCATCCTAACATGCTGGGATCACTGAGCTCCTCCACGAGCATCTGTGTAAACAAATGTCTGGAATACAGCCTCTTGCACAGGTGTAAAAAGAAAGGCATTGGCTATTAATCCTTTGGCTCACTTATTGTTCGGCTAATAATAGCACACAGCGGGCTTCTCCGATAGACCCATTATTCCCAGAGGCGAGGAGGATTAATGAGAGACAAGGATTAATATGCCTATTTTAATCCCATGGCTAAATCATGTCTGTGCTGTGTGACCTTCTGCCCGTCTGATGATCTTGTCTGTCTACTCGCCTAATTATGAAAATTAGCTTATTAATCATATAAATACCAGACTTTTTTTTAATTGCAAAGGCAGCAGGAAACTAAATGGAGTTTAAATTCAAGCTTTTCTGAATGGAAT